TGAAAGTGAACTGTATGTGTTTTACTCAAGCATTACATAAAAATTTCATTTTAGGAAAATTTTCATTTTGAGTTTAGGTACTGAATAATAAAAAGGAAAAATAAAACACTGCTTAGTATTTACTCGTTGGATTCAATATGCACTGATTCTTATTTAAGCTACAAAAGTTATTTAGGTAAGAACAGCGAGTCATTTTCTGTCTTTTGTTCATGGCCCCAAAAATTGCAAGCTGTAGCGATATGTATATTGCGATATTTCGATAATTTCTATATATTGCACAGCCCTAGTTCCCACTGAAGTCCATTGAATTACTATCACAAACCAGAGACATATATGTGCTTCACACCTAAAAATAAACCCTCTGTTCCATCAACTACCTGAATGAAAGAAATGATAGGGAATTTTACTCTGAAAATTTCTCAAGCTTAGGTTTAGTTCTACTCAAGCCAGCTGTCGGAGCGTTTACAGGGCTTTACCTCTACGCAGCTGACAGGAGAAGGGTGGTGTAACTGCTTGTCATGTGCTGTAATCGCTCTTCGTTGGCTGGGTGAGTGCTGAAGTTCATGCTAAAGCTGTAACAATGCCGTCAGAGTTCTGAATCATGTAGATTGTGGGTGGTTTGGTAGCGAGGGTGGAGTTGAAGGATGTTTATGTGGTTAAGGGAACTTGGGAAGAGCAGGAAGTGACTAAGTTAACCGTATTAAGTCTTGAAAATGTATAATGTCAAATAGAACTTTCTCTTTTCTTTTCCTGTCTCAACATTCTTAAAATTTGAACTTGGATATAAAATCTTGTAAAAAAAAAAAATAAAAATAAAAATACCTTACCTGGCTCTGTGTGTGTAATATATCTCTCCAATGTCCAATGAGTTAAAAGCATGCAAGTTTCTCTGCTGGAAATAAGCACGTGCTGGTGGACACCAGCCATCCCACAGATCTGCACTGAAAAGGAATTGGATTTGGAAATGGCTGTAAACGTTTTATTATGGAGAGGAAATGCTTACTTCTGTGCGTGTAACAAAATTGATGTGCTCACAAGCGCTGCTGTCACAGTCTAGCGTCCCCTGTCCTCCCCCACGGCCAATGAGAGCTGCTTCACTCCGCTGCCCTTACAAATAGACCCCATTGATTGAATCTGATTCCTGCGGATAGAGCAGGATTATTGAGCAGCCTTCCCTGATGTCTCACACCCAGAATGTGTGTGGAAACGTTCTCTCTGTGTCAGCTTTTGTTGCTTAAATCAGAGGGACGGCTCCCCTGAGCCTCCCCCCGTCTGAAGCATGCAAGTTTCTCTGCTGGAAATAAGCACGTGCTGGTGGACACCAGCCATCCCACAGATCTGCACTGAAAAGGAATTGGATTTGGAAATGGCTGTAAACGTTTTATTATGGAGAGGAAATGCTTGCTTCTGTGCGTGTAACAAAATTGATGTGCTCACAAGCGCTGCTGTCACAGTCTAGCGTCCCCTGTCCTCCCCCACGGCCAATGAGAGCTGCTTCACTCCGCTGCCCTTACAAATAGACCCCATTGATTGAATCTGATTCCTGCGGATAGAGCAGGATTATTGAGCAGCCTTCCCTGATGTCTCACACCCAGAATGTGTGTGGAAACGTTCTCTCTGTGTCAGCTTTTGTTGCTTAAATCAGAGGGACGGCTCCCCTGAGCCTCCCTCCGTCTGATGACACACAGCTCTCTGGAAAAGCTGCACTTCCTTTATTTCCTTCCTCCCTCTCTCGCCTAGGAATAATCTGTACATTTTTTACAAACATCCTGAGAATGCCTGTAGTTCAGGAGGAAGAAGCAAAGAAAGAGGGTGTTAAAAAAATTGGCCTGACCTCAAACAGAAATGTCCAGTCTATACGGTGACTCTGAGGAGCAGCGTCGTCGGCCCTCAAAGGAAGTCTGTCCTCATTAAATACCCTGCAGAATAAGCCAGAAACAAAGTCTTCGTTTGTGGGGCGAGAGAAAATCGACTCCATCTGCTTTCATGGCCAGCACTGAGATGTTGTTATTTGGATTTAGAGCTGTGCCAACCACACAAAGTCCTGCTCAGCAGAAATGAGTGTGATAGTTTATGGTATTTTGGGGATTTTTAGAGTCGTTTATCCTCTGCCTCACCCCTCTTACGGGAATCAATAGGCCCGACTGCCTCAGACCTGGATTTCCTTCCTTGCACTGACCCTCTGTTTGAATCTGCTCTAATACAAGGAGTTGATGCTTTTGTTTTTGCTAGGAGTTATTATGGATAATGGTTTTGTCCCGTCTGATGACACACAGCTCTCTGGAAAAGCTGCACTTCCTTTATTTCCTTCCTCCCTCTCTCGCCTAGGAATAATCTCTACATTTTTTACAAACATCCTGAGAATGCCTGTAGTTCAGGAGGAAGAAGCAAAGAAAGAGGGTGTTATAAAAATGAAAGAAGAAAAAAAAATTGGCCTGACCTCAAACAGAAATGTCCAGTCTATACGGTGACTCTGAGGAGCAGCGTCGTCGGCCCTCAAAGGAAGTCTGTCCTCATTAAATACCCTGCAGAATAAGCCAGAAACAAAGTCTTCGTTTGTGGGGCGAGAGAAAATCGACTCCATCTGCTTTCATGGCCAGCACTGAGATGTTGTTATTTGGATTTAGAGCTGTGCCAACCACACAAAGTCCTGCTCAGCAGAAATGAGTGTGATAGTTTATGGTATTTTGGGGATTTTTAGAGTCGTTTATCCTCTGCCTCACCCCTCTTACGGGAATCAATAGGCCCGACTGCCTCAGACCTGGATTTCCTTCCTTGCACTGACCCTCTGTTTGAATCTGCTCTAATACAAGGAGTTGATGCTTTTGTTTTTGCTAGGAGTTATTATGGATAATGGTTTTGTTTTTTCCATTATAATGGTTTATATAACGATGGATGTGGTGATTTATGTTCTCTTTGGCATTTCCTTTCCTTACTTTTTCTGTTTCTAATCAAATGTAGTAACTAAAAATAAAGCTTAACTCCATCTAAAAAGTAACTTTTCTAAAGCTCTCAGATATGAATCCGTTCACTGTCACGTTGTACTTGGTGCATATGACTTTCTTTTAATCTCTTTTCTTTTCTGTGTATATATATATATATATATGTATATGTATGTGTGTGTGTGTGTGTGTGTGTGTGTGTGTGTGTGTGTGTTTTTATGTACATGAAATATTAGTTTTGATTTCATGGTGACCTCTAGATGTTTTTTGTGCTTTTTGAGGCTTGACAGCTCCTGTTTACATTAAATGGAAAAGAGTAGAAATGGGAAAGATATCTCCTATGATCTTACGTTTTGTGTGTCAAGTCAGTCATACGATTCTAAAGTGACGAGGGTAAGTGAATGACACATTTCCACCTTCACAGACTATTTTGTGAATCACTCACCTTTTTCTTTTTTGGAGCTTAACATATCGAAGTGGCCAGTGAAATGCTTGAGCAAGAAACCCTTGAGCAGATCTTTGCCCTTGTCAAGTGGTCAACTCCTTGTCACTTCAGACAGTATTAGAGCTATGCCAAAACTGAGATCGGCTGGCCAGAATAAGAGCGAATAGACATAATTTGAAAGGCAGAGGAAGGATGTTCTGCTCGGTCATCGGAAATTTGGTTCAGTTTCACTGTGTAAGGGGGGGCTGGCGAGTTGGTCTCAGAAAATTTGCAAGACTTATTCCGGATGAAACCTGTGAAGGACACCACTGAAAACTGTTTTTCACCTGTCGGGCTTGGAAGTTAAGTGGACAAATGAAGAGTGTTTTCGTCTCTCCACACTGCATTCGATTAGCCTGAGCCCGTTTTCTTTTGTTCTGTCTTCAAATGAGTGGTGTTATTGTAACAAGCTCATAGATGAATCTTCATTGGTTCTCCACAAGCTCCTCGGATGTGAAGGGTTCAAACAAAAGCTTAACTTTCTAGAAAATAATGTTTTTGTGTCTGTATTGAATTACTAAAGTGCTCAGGAATGGGTGAGTCATTCATGCGGAGGCATCCGTAGCTTCAGTGCAGTTTTTATTTTTTTTATTTTTTCTGATTGAGGAAATCACTCAAGGTTTCTCTCAGCTTTGACACATGTGGATGTGTAGAGTTGTACTAATCTAGAACCGTGTTATTTCTGCAGTCAAAGTCCCTTAAGGGCAAACTCTCACAATACCACTCAAATATGGTGTCTGTCAAAGTAGTTTGTCCTTTGATGTGTGCTCTCCTAAGAAAACTCTGAAACACCATGAAAAGTTAAAGGTGTCCCAGCCCTCCAGTGTGTCTGTTGCTTGATGTGTAAATCTGAATTGAGCTGGTTTCTACTCCCTCTATCTTTCTCCCCTCTCCTCCCCCCCTCTGAAGTTGGAAATACAAGTCTCTTTGCGCTTTTTTTTTTTTTTTGCATTTTAGTTGCTCTGCGTTAAGAGATCTCATGTTTGGTTTACTCTTTCTTAGTAATTGAAAGTGTGCATCTTTCTCTGTGTCTCTCTCTGGATCTAGAAGCACTTGACTTCTAGTTCCTGCTAAGAGTAAATATTTATTCATATGTTCTACTCCAGCACTTTGTGTGTATTTATTAATTTAAAATAAGATATATTTTATAGGGATGCACGATATATCGGCCACCATATCGGTATCGGCCGATAAATGCTCATTTTTTCTGTTATCGGTATCGGCCTGATAAGAAAATTTGGCCGATATCTTAAAGCCGATAAATAATGCATTAATTCCTTCAGAGACACTTCAGATGCGCGCTGTTCGTTTGCAGCCTTTTGTGCAATTGTACGTTGTAATATTGTGTTTATTGATGTATATCTGATTTATCTCATATAGAATGCATTTGGTTAAGTTAAAAGAGCGCTTCAGTTTACCGGTGATCGTCTTTAGCTCAGCGCACTCAAACAGCAGTGCACAACATTAATAACTATGATTGGGAATGTTGTGTATATAACATGCATGAATACTGATTGGTGATTGGTTGTGTGATTAATGGGGTTCCCCTTTGATTGGTCTTTTTCTTTCTGTAGGCGGAAGGAGAAGATAATCTAAAGAAGATGCAGCTTATGGAGCTGGCCATTCTAAATGGAACATACAGAGACACCAACATCAAAACACGTAAGGAGACACATTCACACATCGACAGCTAGACGCGGAGGAACTTTATATAGACACACACTCCAGAATAAATAGACTTGAACATCAGCACACCCACAAGACAGTCATAAAGCTAACTATTAGGGAATAACGTGAGAACTGTGATTGTGTTGCACAGTGACTAAAGAGATTTGTTTAAATGCTTACACACACAAAATCACACCCGTATTTGTTAGGGCATAGGGCTTACACACACAATATCAAATCACAACCAGCCATAATCCATCTCTTGTATCCATCCCTAATCCACATGTAAATGCACACACGTGCAACATACATACATATATATATATATATATATATATATATGTGTGTGTGTGTGTGTGTGTGTGTGTGTGTGTGTGTGTGTGTGTGTGTGTGTGTGTGTGTTATTTTCTGTGCTGACCATAAATGAGCAATTAAATAAAAAACACTGCGCACATGAGAGTTCATCAGACATAAGATTCTCATTTTAATTCAAGAAAGAATCCTGTTTGCTGCACACTCCTCATGAAAACATCTAATCATCTGCCCACAGTCTAGTATTTCTGTCTCTCTTTATCCCTCCCTGTCTCTCGCGCTCTCTTTTTCTCTGTCTCCCTCTTTCTCTCTCCCACCTCCTTTCAAAGCTGTTCCAATTGCAATCACAGCTTGCGTAATCATGGTGTGGCATACAGAATAATTTTGCTGCATGATTGTGTGTTTTAAGTTGTCTTTAGGTCATAAACTTGTATTATTGCTCAAAGATATTTGCATACGATTCCACCCATGTTATACATATTCATTACCGCAATGCATTTCCACATTGACAAAGGGTTTGGGGCTTTTACTGCTCTGTAAAGTAATATTTGCATGACTGTATATATGATTGTATGGATTTATGAATGTGAGCATGCATATTTGGGTATATATGACGGAGACAGAAACACATCTGTTTGCCTTCAGTGCAGAATGTTTATAAGCGTTTTAATTTTCAGCATTGTTGTGGTTATTTCCTCTCCACATCTGCACTAAATGTCCCAATGGCATGTAGAGGTTTTGATTCATGTGGGAAAGCTTATGGCAAGTTTGTGGAATCAATTCTAGAAAGTGCACTTCAGAGTTACAACTATAAGAAATTACATCAGCATTTTTTAGCACACAAACTGAAGTGCTCTTTCCTCTACATGCCGCAGGACATTGGGTTTAGATGTGCTGCTTTAAATCAGTGACTCTGTGTTGTGTATTAGTGCCTCTGTTTTGATGATCGGTTTGCCCCCCAGTATGATCAATCATCAGTTCCTCCTTGTGTTTTAGTTTTGATTAATTTTTGTAATGATTTTGGTTGTGGGGTTTTAGTTTGCTTTAGAGTGTAATTTTTTTGTGGTTCATTGACCATTGCATGGACTAATTTTCCTTTATTTTTTCACCCACCCCCTTTTTCTCTCTTTTTGTGTACTTCTGTTTTCCTTTCCCTGCCTGTGCTTTTCACACATCTGTTTTTGTGCCTTCTGTCCATTTCTGTTTTTCCCCCTTCTGCTCTGAAAACTTTATACACATTCACACACCCAACCTCCCCTATCGCTCTATCTCTCCCATTACTTCTCTCTTGGTGTCTCTTGCTCTCTCCCTTTTGCTCTTTCTGTCTTTCACTCTTCTGTTTATGGCAGACACCCTTGCGTTCTCTCTTGCAGCAGCGGCAGCAGCTGCTCAAGGCCCGCGTCTGATCGCGGCCCCTGCAGGTCAGGTCCTCCCCCCGTCTGCCCTCAGGCCCCCCACTCCGGCAGGGACCCCCATCATGAACATCATTCGGCCCACTCAGATGGCCACTGTGTTACCCAATGGCACCCCTACCCTGGTGCCCCCGACGCCCGACGCGGGCATTATCTACACCACGCCCTATGACTACCCTTATGCCTTGGCACCCACGTCTCTGCTGGAATATCCTATCGAGCACAGCGGAGTCCTAGGTAAGCGGGCGTGGGGGCTTGGCACTTCACCCTTCGGTGCCCCGCAAGAGGGTATTGCCGGGTTGTTTTACGGGGGCATGTTGGATGGGTCGTCACCCGGCCCAGTTCAGGACTCACTGAAAGGTAAATATGTAATGACTAGCTCGTGCTAGCATGCTGGGTAACCCAGGTGATTAAAGACTTAGCTACATAGACACACAAAAAAAAAAACATTTGCTACTGAGACGGGCTGGGAAAGGGACCACTTATCTGTGTCTTAAACGAGGTATATTCATCTTTCTAAAATGTTTTTTTTTTGTCTGCTTCGTAAGAAGTCTGTCACACCTTGGTAGGCCCACATGGAGCTCTGCAGAGTCATGCAGAATTGGAATGCCTATCATTCTCAAGGTGTAAAACAGCCCCAACTTCTCAGGTGTTAAATAATTTGGTTCCACTACCAGAAACAAATTTCTGTTGTGTTTATCTGATATTGCACATTTGTGCTTAAATCAATTACACCGATATTCCCCTTCCCAAAAAATTTGCTGCATCTACATGTTATCTGGACTTGCTCATAAAAATTTTCAATATTTAAAATCACTTTTTTTTTTTTTTTTTTTTTTTTTTTTTAAATTAGCAATCAACATATGGCGCAAAAGAAAGAAAGAAAAACGATTCATTCATGTGTTTTAACTTACATTTTCGCTCTTGGTGTTGAATGGGCCTTCGCTATTGAACCAATTACTAGTCCGCTATCAAGAGTTATTTCAAATCAATTTGTTCTGTGCGTTATCTTTGACCTTTGAAGGAGATGATGTAAATTAATTTTATCATCAATGTGCTTAGAATTTGCAGTCTATTCTAGTTTTTTTTTTTTTCTTATTTCACTTATGAATTCTTGTGAGCAGAGCAGAGAACATTTGTAATTTCGCCGATTTGCTGAAATGTAGCTAGCACGAGCCAGGTGCTGTCATACAGCGATCACAGGGTGTCGAAACTTGATTACCATTTGCTATCAAATTATGCTGCTTTCACGAGTAATTTTTTTTCCTAAAACACACCTTTGTTTTGTGTATGTATGTGTTTTTTGTTTTTTCAAACATGATTCCTTGCCAGCCCGTCTCAAATAGTCTTAGAATCTTGTAAGTCAGAGCAATTACTATGTTATTTTAAGTTGTAAGTTATACATTTATAATATTCAGTTTTTTTATGCATTTATTACTCTTGTTTTTATGAATTTCTACCCAATGTGTTGATATTGTGAATATGTATTACATGTAGAAACATGCATAAATTTGAATATAGATGAGATTTCATGTAAAGCCTGTTTCACAGCTATCCAGTTCAAATTGAGATTCATATTGAACGGATCTTTTAAATAAAAGGTCAAAATCAGATGTGTTCTGTATTTCTCTGGTTTCTAGAGTTCTGCTGCAGCATTCTGTGGTCTAGCTGTGGCCCACAGGCTTTACATGTATGTTTTGTTTCCTGGGCTGAACCATGTCTAACCTTATGGACCTGTTGTAATCTAGGTGCAATGGCTACTAAAGTGCGGAGACATGATTCACGGGTCCATCCTTACCAAAGGATAGTGACCACAGACAGAGGTTAGTTAGATGAGATACTTCTACCTTTTTTGAAATTCTTTTTTTCTTTATCTCTGAACGGGGGATCATACATGTTTATACACAGCGTATCTTTACTGTGGAAATGTGTTTACATATGAAATGCCTCTGGAAACACTCAGGTTTGCGGAAGTTTATGACTGTAACTGAATTAAATGCCATTTGTTTCATAGCTTTATATATCAGTGCATTTCTTAACTACGTCTAGATCCAAAAAAAAATGTATTGTTGTTGTTTTGTTTAGTTTTTTTGTTTTTTTTAAATCGTTTTTAAAATACAAAGGGACTGGAATAAGCTTCCATTGCCAGCGTTGCAAGCCATTGGCTAAGCCAGTGGTTCTCAACCTTTTTTCCCACTGGGCTGCACTATGGTCCAAGTGCAAGTCTCACGGGCCACACGCATATCATTTACATATCATGTCACCAATACAAACCAACCAGATTTATAATAGCCTATTATAGCCTAAATGGTATGGTATCTAATCGATTACATTCATTGAAATAAATAAATCAATAATTATACTCACCATTAATAAAACACCTGATGCTGTCGGGAGCTGACCAATTTTGTGAAATCCAGCTCGAAAGGAGTAACAGCACAATGAAGTTGCCATTGTAAGTTGCAGTCTGTAAGATGCGCACGGAAGCGTGACTTGACGCGTGACATTGCAGAAAATTTGCGTTCACAAATGTAGCCTATGTTCATCCAAATATGGAAAGCACTTTTGAATTTAATAATCTGAGGTTCTCTCCAAAGATGTTTTGCCACATTTCTGCAATTAAGGATGATTGCTGCATAGTATAGGTGTTTCCTTTTGCCTGAACTAGAGCCCTGCTTTTCAGCCCTGCATGATCAGCTCACTGTCTGTCGCTGGACGCTTGGTCGTTACTTAAAAAAAACTAAAACTTATATTTAACGACCAAAAAATGCTCCAAACGTTTTTCTAAATTATGAAATATAATCACTTTGCCATTACATACAAAACTTAACTATTTTAATATAGCTGAAACCGTAGTATAAGCTGTTTTGGGAGAAGGGGGAAAAAAAGACGGGCTCAGGCCAGTAATTCTGATAAGCTGTCGGACAAGGGCGTGAGTGGCGGGGCAAACCGAAAGTTGATGCCGAAAGTCCAGCACTCTCCTACCTTCACTGCTGCGACTACTCTTGTTTGTTTGTGTTCCTTCGCTGGCATTTTCTACATTTTGTTTTTCTCCCTTAATAACAAATGTGTCCATTCTGATGTTCAATTTTACCGAACTAATGGCTGCTGATGACTATTTGAATTGAATTCTGCCAAAATGCGCGCTTGTAATTGTTTGTTAAATGCGTGACGTTAATTACGTGAGTACAGGTCTGCTCATGTCTGAAAATAATATATGAAAAACTACATTATTTTACATAAAAAACATTCTAGCTTATATTTGTTTAGTACATTTTTAAATTAATGTAAAAACTCAACATCGGATTTTGTTTGTTCAACTCTTTAAATGTAAAAATTTACTTTACACCCAGTTATATTTTCGTTTTACTGAAGGTACTATTTTTATAGCAGATGTATTTTTGAATCCTGTGTATACGCTCACGAAAAAATCCAAAGCGATATTTCGCGACCTTTATCTGTTTATTTGCATAACGTAGCACTAGCTCTCTGATTCCCCCTCACAACTAATTACACTGTTCGTAACACGCATTTCGACTCGAGACACTAAAATGTTACTAGTTTTTGTTTGTATGTTTTGTCTCGTTTGTCTATGTGATACCTCTCTGCTTTTGTTTGTGGGAACATGGGGCATTGTAGCGCTTTAATTACATGTAATAACGTTCTGATTGAACTGATCATGACGTTAGAGTCATGATCATAACCAGGTTTAGCCTGTGTTTGTCTCTTGGCCGTGGAATTAAGGGGTTAAACAAAGATTGCATTCATTTTGCTGTTAAAATGATGTCATTCCGGTCTCTTCTTGCTAACTAATATCTTTTCTACCTTTTTTTTTTTTTCCTTTTTGTTTTCCTTTTTGTTCCTAACCACCTAGCCGCCACCGGCAACTAACAAATGACCTCTGAACTCTTCACCCAATGATGAGCCGCCCAAGCCTGCCTGCTGATCAGATTAACTGGTAATTGCCTTTTGCTAGCCTGGTGGACGCAGAGAGAGAGGCACCTGTCCAAGCAGTGATCCTAACATAAACCAACATAAAACTCAACAACCCTCCATACCAACACACATTGTGTAGCGATAACAACGATGATACTCTATTATTTTGTTTTTGTTTTTACTATTATTTCTTTCTTTTTCTTTTAAAATCTCAAATGACTGGGTGGATGTTAACAGTGATATTGTGTTACCCGAAAATCTGCACTAAAGTTTAAAAGCAATAAAGAAGCATCTTCTGCTAATTCAGCCCTTAAATGAATTTATACTCAAAGCTCCAATATAAAAAAAAAAATGACCCTAGTTGGCGACCCTAGTTTTATCAGTCGTAACGCTAAACGGGGCATCCAAATAATCTCTATACGCTACCCCACCCATTTAAACTGTCACCATGAATAATCAGCAAAAGAAAAAGAAGGAAAGAAATCTGCACTCACACCAACTTGTGTATTTCCTGTCCTTCTCTGATGTAATCCTGTGTTTTTCAGTTGAGTTTTACTGTGCTGACACATTCTGGGTGTGCCTGTCCAATTGACTTAGAGCATGGCTACAATGACAGACTGCAAAAAGCTTGTTTTGATTTCTTTGTTCTGTTTACTTCTCCCTATTTTGTTTCTTATGTTTCCATGCATCTTATTAGCATTTGGCAATACTTGCAGGTTTATACGTGCTGCTCATTGCAGTATATGTGCCAGCTCAGTGGGGGGGCAGTAGGCAGAGTCAGGCAGGGCAAGAGTTGTTTGGGGTGAAGTGTTTTTGGAGTCTTCAAATCTAGAATATTCAGGGTTGGACAGCTGGGATATGAACCGGAATCAGTTTACTGAACTATGCCATCCCAAAAACTCTCAACCCGTCCCCACATACAGTGCCTGAACTTTCTAAAAAATCTTTCTTTGAATGAGCTATGAGATAAAAGACAAAAAAAAAAAGTATTATGTGTGCGCATTTAGCCAAAGGGTTTCCATTTAATGAATTTCATATATATATATATATATATATATATATAAAATATAACTATGTATCTAACCGCCAAGGGTTGCCATTTTAGTCTAGAGTTTGAAAAGGTTTGATGTCATGCCTGTATCTGTTTGTTATAATAGCAAATCAAAAGATGGATGAAATGGTGATGAATTGTCCCACAAGACGCTAATTTCCTTGAGGATGTACAAAAGCAATGAACACTAAGGAAGGTGAATGAGGTAGACCGAACGGGGAGGGTTTAACTTCACTGCTGTATGTACACGTTTTCTTTTGGTTTCCGTTGATTTATCAAAAAAAAAAATCACATTTTATTCTGTTTGAATTTCTCTCCCCCGTCCCACCTTCCAAAAATTAATTCAACTGAGCTGAAATTAAATGCAGGTGTTCTTGCCTTCATGAAATTCACGTGTGGGAAGCAACTGTGAGTAATTTCGAATCGTTTCAAATAGCCCATCCACAATGTGTCCTGCACACCCCCAGCTACTGAGCCCACTCTCATTTCTATACACCCTCTTAAGAAAACATAGGATGTGAAAGCCATGTCTGCCTGTTCGAATTGCTTTATACATACATGATATATATATAAAATGTATACAAATGTAGATATGTCATTGCATATTAAAATACAGAAAGATCAAAATTAGATACTTTTACAGGGTGCTGGAGAAGAAATATATATTTTTGGCAATTTTAGCTTTTTATACTTAACTTGCAGTTACAAAATATGAAACGTAATACAAAAAAAATAAATATATAAACATTTGTAGAATAGTACAGCGAAAGGTGGTAAAGAAAGGTTGCGTGACTTTGGATACTATTGGCCAGGGGGAAAAAAACAGACCAAAATAGTCAAACCTATTGGAGGAACTGCATGACGTGAGAAGAGAAGAGTACAGTTAGAGAGATAAGTGCCTTACTGACGGTCGTTTCTTTTCCGAGTGTTACATTGTTCAATAATATCCAGCACCAACAAGGATAGCGCAGAGTGAGGGAGGACTGGTGAAGAGGAAGCACCCCAAGAGTTAAACCACGAGGCTGTTGCAGTGTTGTGCCACTGAATCTATTCTATGCAAAGGAATAGCAGTCATTTGACCAGCTAACTATGTGCCATGATTAGTCTTCCCAAAATTAAGTTGACGTCTTGTTTTGTTGTTTTTTCCTTTAATCCCCATTTGAACAAAGTGTTCAAAGTGTTATTTCTCTTTATTTTATTGCATTGTTATTCTTATATTATGAGGACAAAATCGGCAATGCTGTCTATGTATTTGGTTACTGTGATTTTTGTCAAGAACAACTGCCAATCATTATGTGGAAGTCTGCCAGGTGTTTTAGAAGGGAGATTTCTCAATGAATTTTACTTTTCCTGAAACCTCCTCTTGTTTCAAGATGTGCAAACTGGAAGCTTTCGATCATATTTGCCAAAACATACTTTATTTTATGCCAAAGAAGTGTTTTTGCTTTTTGTTTTAAAAGACCAGAGGAAATAAGGGATATGGGGGGAAAGTATTCAGCCTTTTTGGTGTTTCACAAAGGACAGATGTAGCTTTACAGTGCACTGATCTGAAAAGAGCAAATAATGCTTGGAGAGGGAAAATATCGCATTTACTCAAAGTATTACTGAGAGGAAGGTCACTGGGATATTCATCAGTGCCAGACCCGAACAGTCACAGATGAGCCACTGTATCAAGATCAGCAGTTTTCAATCATCGAAACAACCGGAGGTGTTCATAACATTCAGTAAGATTACATTCAACTTTGTGTCCTGTAACCCTGGCAGTCTCTAATGTAGTCTTGTTCTTCACTTATGTTACACAAAAAGGTCAATGTCTTTTTTCTCTCTTCTCAGTGTTAAATACATGTTTTTAAACATTGAAATAATGAAATGCAATATTAGAGAGGAGCAAAGACGACTACAGAGAAATGGACAGTATTAAAGGAATCCCCTCTGCCACGTTACTACAGTACATGCTGTTAATGTTTTGGAGTTGGGTTTAGTCTATCAGGTGTATGGAGAAAACTCTTGTTCTCTTCCGCCTGCCTACTACATGTGTTATAATGTAAATTACAGCCATTACAGGTTTCTAATGTATTTTTCTAACTTCATTTTCTATGTACAAGTCTTTTTTTTTGTGATGAAACCCACTACACCTTTTTTTTTTTTTTTTTTTACT